AAGACGAAAGCTGAAATGTAATCAAGCAACTGCATAATTAGTTTAACTTAATTAAGAGTGGTATCTCTAAGTCACAAAACTGAGGGCACAAATCATCTTAAAGACTGTTATTTGAGAACCTATAAAAAGAGAAACAATATTGTCTTTGATCCTACTGTACGTATCTCCTCTGTAGTCAATATGTCATTTTATCACCCAGATGCAGAATACAGTCCCTGCCTATGAAAGTCAAGCAGGGCTTTTCCAGCTTTGTGCCTGTGTCCGGTAGGTCTGCCTTATGCTCCATTTCATCCCATAATTCAATATTTAAAGGGAGATGCTTAGAGTTATGGACAGTACTGGATCAAATCAAAACATATACAACACACTGGACTGTTGACATTATTCTTTTTAATATTATGTGATTTGTTTAAAGCTACCTGTATGGTGGTTGTGTTTAATGCATGTGAGTTTGAAGGAAGTGTTTTTAATGTACCCAGCAAAAAAAAAAAAACAAGTTCCTGGTGGGAAAAGTAACATTGTAACTCTTGTAAGAGTTCAGGTGGAGACAAACCTTTTGTCCTCAAGGACAAGGATCTGTGGATACAAAAGGGTAATTAAGAGGACACACATTCCATGTTTTACAGTAGGACTGTGAACAGGAGGAATACGACCAGTCTGGAACAAAAAGCCCTGCCTTGTTAGTGAAGCTGATACCCTGGGTTCATATAAAAAAATGGTTGGACAAGGGTTAAATGGGCTAGATGGGTTAAATGGATTCCTCTCATTTATAACCTTTCGTCTGTTGTTGATGGGAATTGAAAAACACCTTAGTTAAAAGGTAGATGGCTTCACTGCTTAGCTGAAAGAGTGTGGGGTCTGCCACCCCGCTATATCACAGGAGACTGTGATATAAAATCAATGCTTCAGCAGATAGCCACTCTATAAAGGCCGGACGGAAATAGAGATGCTCACACTAGCAACAGTCTGCTTTAAGCAATTTGTCCAGTCTGTTTGTGCCCCACATTTCAGGAAGTTCTCCGATGACTTGTGAAGGAGTGCAAGACCTTTTTCAGATCGGCATTCCTTCCCAAGCATGTGGCTGTTGGAAGACACGGGGATACAGTACTTGGCACAAGCTTATCGGAAAGTATTCAGCTCATCGTGATTGCACACTCCAGGAAGCCGGTTTTAAGAGCTGGAATGGCAGAGTGAAGAGTGAGACTGAAGACTGAGCTCACATATGGCAGTCCCAGCTGGGCTGGAGGTTAATCAAATCTAAACAGCGTCTCTGTAGATACACGTTACTGCATCAGGCACAAAATCAATCACTCAATCCTGGAAGTGATACATCTCGAGAAACTCCTTTTGTGTCGTCCTGGTCAGTATCAGAAATGAAGGTCCAGAAATTAATTGTCTGTTTTATTCAGTTTTCTAAAGCGCAATAACACTCAATTCATTCTGGCTAGGGAAACTATTTCCACAGCTATCTTGGAACACATTTTCTAAAAGTCTGAATCATTAAATATTTTAAAATAATATTTTTTGACCTTTAACCTTTAGACCAGGCTGTCAGTGTTTTGCTTATACACCTTAATGACTTTACTGTTTGGAACAAAATGAAATTTGTTCTTTATTCTTTAATGAAAATTCACACTTGCTAGTGATTGTGATAAAGACTTAGTTTCCAAAACGACAATGAGCAACAAAACTGACTAATAATTGACATTACGCTTTTATCAAATATATATATATATCAATATATTGGCTACTACTGCTACCTGCTACTGCCCTGGATTCAAGATTGGACATGAGTCAAGATTTGATGTTGACCACTCTGATGGTCACCAGCAAGTGTTCTGCTCACCTGAACCATGACACCCGACTGTACCAGTCTACAATGTACCAGTCCTGGGACCTCACCTGCCAGACCTGAGCCCCACAAAAGACTGGGGAGATGAGGTGGGATGATGTGTGTTTTCTAGGTCTCAGAGACCAGTCAACAGGTGTATTCTTGCCTAGGCTCTATGAGAGGACTAGGACAAAATCCCACAGCACAGAATCTGCTACGTATGTGTCACAGATGCCCAGCTTATATCGCTTCCAATACCAACAACATATTTTACCAGCATTAAGACTTTCACGGCAGACCCACTGTTGATGATCAATTCTAAACGGCGTAACTTACTTACTACAGTACCCTGTAAAATAACTCGCCCCTTGCCAATAACCTGACATTGTGATAAATTACAAGTAATAAAAATGCTTATTTTTCGAATTTCTTTATTCAAAGCTGTAATTATCAACTTGAATATTGTTATACATGAAGGAGGATGAATACCAGCCCAATCTACAAAGAAAATATACATGGTGAAATGTACTGATGGCATATATATTCAGCCCCCTAAATCAGCACTTTTAGCACATAGATCTATACTAGCTTGAGAAAACTTTATTAAAACCTTTTTCTATGACAGAATTATTAGAGCTTAGTGGTGGATTCTTGGCAGCACTCAGCAAATGGTTTTGCCAAAGCTTGGAGAAGCCGATTCACAGTCATCCAACGCCACAGCTCAGTCCCAAACTGGCCACATCTGGGGTATAAATGCCAACCCACACCTTATTCAGGAATGAACATTGGCATAAATGAACACCAATTAACATCATAAAAAAAACCCGAAATTGTTCCAACCTGGGTTGTAATTGATGGACCCGTTAAAGTTTGTGGCAGAGCCTTCCACCTGAGCAAACTCCATGTGCTAAATTCATTCCAAAGCTGTCTTTGGACCAGTTTGATAAATACCTAGCACTGCTGTATGGGACCTGGGGAATTTCTCAGAATGGAGAAAGATTTATCACTCTCTTCCTGAACCCAGTCGAACGATATGTTTTATTTAAAAAGCCCCGGAATTTACCAACAGGCCTGACTGGTGACAATTTTTCAATACCACGTGATTTATACTGGGTAAGAATGTAGCACACAAAGAATGATTCAATAATAATATAAAACAGTAAGCTACTGCTGTCTGGTGTGTATGTTTAATACAAACACTGTTAAACAAAACTGCAAGAGAGGCTGAACAAAGAATACTTCTGTTACTTTTTCTGTTTTAAGATTATAGAAATAATAGGTTTACAACAACATGGACACACAGGAGTTCTTAAAAGAACTCATAATGTGCCATGAAATGTGATAATTGTTATGTAGGATATATAGTACTAGTGAGACAGTATAGGGGTTTGAATAATAGTGGTAGAAAATGACTCTTCTCAATAAAGCCTTTAAAGTAATAGAAAGATGACACTCCACCTTACATTAAAAGCATGTTTGGAGACATTCTCCCACATGAGATATGGTTTTATTCTGAATTCTGGGCAGAAGAAAGAGGAAGTCCAAAACTGCACTAGAATTTTCAACAGTGAAACATTTTTATTGGACTGGCCTGTTTCAGGTGCATGGAAAGTAGAATTGTTTTGTATTCCCTCAGTCTTATTCAATTGTATTCACGCAAAAACAACTCTGGTGTGACAATGATATTCACTAAAGAGACCTGGTATTAAACCTAATAGCATTTTTTTATTATTTAATGCAACCAATTTAAAGTTAATGCAACAGATTTAAACTCACTGCAAAATTCTTGGAGGTACTGGAATATCTGTTTTCCCCTCTGTATCTCATCTTTGCCTCAGACAGCATTCGGGTTATACTTGAATGACACACGGCACTCTTCCAAAATCACCTCCTCTCTGGAGATTTACTAGAGTTACGAAAACCCAGGCCTGGCAGAAGAGCCTGTACTCAGGAAGTATGGTAAACAGAGTACAGGCACTGTACTCATCAATGAAGAAATGTGTTGCAAGATGTAGTGTGGTAAAAAAAAAACTAGTTGGATTTCGCACTGTGCAGAACACATCCTTGCCTTTGACTATGTCATACTGGTAAGAGTGAGAAATGTTTGTTCCCTATGTTCCCTGAGCTCTTCACTGGATGTGTTCTTTTTTCATAACCAAATTCCTAGCATATACATATACATACACAGAATGACCTGGACTTCTGTGCCTCGGAAACAACTGTTGCCTAACTTTAGACAGATGACCAAGCAGGAAATCGAGGTGGTTTTATTTAAACAGCAGTTTGGTAGCTCTGCACCTATATCCGTGGAAGGATATCATGACATTTAACAGCGGAACATCACAAGGTTCCAAAGTGACACACTGCTCCCTACAGACATACCACAGGACGTGGCCGGTGTGTCATGGCATCCAGAACTTCGCAGCTCGAGTTCTGGCAGGGTCCGTTGCTGATCTTGGCTGCGAACCTGCTAGAAGCTCAGAGCATTCTGCGAGAGTTTTTCGGGAAGTGTGTGTGTGCGCGCGCAAAAGGGGGGTTGTGCTACGTGGTTGTCGTGTCTTAGCCTGCTCCACAATAGGGGAGGTCAGTCTTCAACAGCAACCCTCACTCTGTTTCGCAGGCTGAGTTAAAATTTGCGACGCCGGAGCAGTGTGTGGGCTGAAGGAGTGTCCTGCAGCTGGCCGGGCAGCTTTCCGAACAGCGGAGGAAGGACACAGAGGGAACTCTGGGTGTGGAGGCGGGAGCCGCCCGCTCTCAGTCTACCAAACTGTATTTTCTCTTTGTCGGTTAAAGATAACGTAATGGCTTGAACAATCAACGCAAGCCGGATGGCACAGAGGAACAAAACAGAAGTAGAAAATCATCCACTAACCCTTGGAGATTAAAAGTGAAAACATTTACTCCCGGCCTGACTCATAATTATAGCCAAAGAGTAAACTTGAGGGGAAAGATCAGATGGCCTCACTACGACACTTAAGGGGGTATGAGACAAGCGACTGTGCTTGACAGGAGAGCCCTTTACCTCTCCAAAGGCTTCCGTCTAAACAAAAGGCTCGTTTTATCTCCATCGGAAATTAGGCCACGTCACGTCATGGCAGTGCAACTCCGGATGAGTGACCGCTTTCAGAATTGGAGAAGCCGAGAGAAGCCGAGTGAAACGGCCACTTACCCCTCCTGTGTATGCGCTCTATTCCGACTCTGGGCTCAGGAAGCGTAGGAGTGACCACAAACAGTCCACGAGTATCAAATCCACTTTTCGTTGTTCTTCAAGACTACAAAAGAAATAAAGCGGAAACACTTGTTTTAATGAAATAACTGAGCAAACCGCTCACCCTATTAATAAACCTACTGTATTCTAATCAAGTATGGCTTCAGTTATCTGATGAAGGTGGTCTGGAATTAAAACCAGCGGGTGTGTGGCTCACCAGCACCAGGACTGAGAACCACTGTTCCAGAGTGTGACGGCACCTTGGTCATTTGTGAACCCCACCAACATTTTTTTCAGGTGTGCTTGTGACAGAGCACTGCTTCACAGCCAAAACATTGCGTTTTCTCTCTTCTCTTTGGAACAAAACCTATTACTTGTTCCTTTGCAGACTACGCATGCTGATGCCGCTCCGCACCTGAACTACTTGATTTAAGAAGTTGATCCAATGAATATTTCCATTTTGTTTCTGGTCAGTTTCTAGGTTGGGATGTGATTTCACTTACAAAAGGCTTTCACTTAAAGCTCCAACATCCTTTAGAGCTGGGGACAAATAGTTCCAATGAATCTTGTTAATATTGCGTCAATGAAGGGTCCGACTGTGTAACTGAAGGCTCAGCTGGAACAAAGAGCAACAGTTGTGTGGGTCACCAGGACCAGCACTGGGAACCACTGTTCTATAGTCTGGATCATTGCAGTGAACCTCACTGCATCTCTAGTCAACAACTAGCTAATTGCTGCAAAAACACTGGGTTTTGTCAGAAACTGGCAAAGTAATCCCTTGACTTGCTACACAACTGCAGACCTCGTGGCTTGCTGAGTGTCTATGTGCTCCAATGGAAGCCACAGCCCGATACTTTGACCTGTGGGTCTGCTGATCTGTGAGATTGCTGACATGTCTCTTCACCTCCCACATGTCAGAGCAAGAGATCTGACAGTAATCACAGGAGACGGCACCAAAATTAAAATCATCGGCAAACTTTATAAGGTGCGTCACTAATATGCTACCTAAAAGCAAGCAGTGAGCTGAACAGCCAGAGACTACAATTAATAGCGATCGAGAGATTAGAAAACTGAAAAGATTGGGCTAGGATTTGGAAAGACTTTGACTGGAGCCTATTTATTGATAAATTAGAATTCAAATGATTGAAAAAGTGTGACACAACACAAACTACTGTCACCCCAAAAGTGTTTTGGACTTTTCTGTTCTCATGATACTGAAAAGTACTGACCTTTAAACCCCACTGATTATCATGCATTTAATCAATTTCTTGAAAGCCCCTCTATTACTCAACTACTTTCCCACTGCAAGAGTCCAAACCCATATTGGCTACTGATACTATAATTCACTGTAAACACACTAGCACAGAGCTCTTGAAGGAACTTTAACTGCACCCTCTGAGAATATAAAAGTTGCAGTTGCAGTTAAAAATCAACCTCAATCTGAAAAATCTCTAAAAAACAGACAAGTCAAGAAAACAGAAGATGCCCCTTTTCCTCCATGCACTAAACGACATCAATCCTCATTCATGCCCTGCCTTTTTGTGCTTTGTGCTATTCTGCTTGCCCTATCACCGCTGATGTGTACCCGGAGAGTACAAGCATTTAGATGGGTGATTAAAAATTACTGAGCGCGTCTTTAAAGGAAAGCTTGTTTTCGGGGGTCAGAGGGGCAGCTGTTCATCTGTAACTTGAAGAAGCCATCAAATATTTAACACGCCCCCTCCCTTTTCATGAACACGCCATGTAAACAAGCATTTTATTTCAGGGGCTGACACACTACCCCTGGCGTTTGCCCTGAAAGCCTATATCCCCACCTATGCTGAAAACAAGCCCTCCAGCATAAGGGCTTCGGCAGGAGAATTAATTGAAATTGAGTTTCATTTGGTGTCAGATAAAACATTACCGTTACTTGTCTTGCATGTGTACATATGTGATCTGATACCTCTTTTTTTGTGCTTTGAAGCACGTTTGGAAAACCTTGACCTGCCTTGTACCTATCAGTGATCACAATCAGCCCTTTCTCAGGGCAGCTGATCAAGTTTAACCAAACACAAAGCACAATAGCAGGTACACTTCCCATCTCTTGGCAAAACTTCATTAAGCAAAAACAGACATTCTATACAGCAGTTACCTTGATATTTTCATGGTCTCTAGCGATTAAACCAACCGCTCTGTAGGTATCTGCATTACAATCCTTATACTTCATTAAAATGGTGATTTAAAAAAAAATGATCGAAAGAATATAGTTTCACACAGATTAAGAAAATGCAGTTCGGGATGCTGACGAATTAAGTGGGGTTTCTTCATCGCTTTGTGAAAAAAAAAAGTGTGGTTTTCAATTAAAAGCTTTTCAGCCCAGATTATGGTTTGAGTTACAAGGCTTGAAAAGGGCTTAATTTTGCATTAATAAACTTGCAATTTGAGAACTATTTTCAATACCCTTTCATTCACTAAAATGATTCCTGTAAGGTTAATCCGTGAGGAATCCTTTTTATTGAATTACATGTGGTGATGTATCTTTTTACGATACTTTTTTTTTGGCCCAGCAGATTTACGCCAAAGTAAGAAAAGAGCTTCAACTGTCCTCAATAATAACTCTTCACCTTGATCTCAGTTCCTTACCTTGTGTCTTTGAGTTCCTTACTGCTGGCCTGTCAGCCTGCTTCATGCGTAGTGCTCTGAAGAAGGGCCGTACTCTTTTTCTGAATTGGCTGCTCTTGATGTAAGACCACTGACACCAACGGCTCACTGTAGTAAAGTACCTCCTTCACAAAGGTGAGATTAAATTTGGAACAAAACAGTTGAGTGCCTTCATAAATAACCGACTATTTTAGTTTTGCAGTTTTGCAGGGTGGGGTTTCAATTAATTAGCCCTAATTGAATCCTTCAAAGCTCTCTTACGCAGGATTCGTTTCTGGATTAACCAGGTTTCTGTAAATTTGCTAAGGTGCACGAGTTTTGATCCATTATATGAAGACCTGCTGCATAGTTTAATATCGATATTGTCCCATTGTGTGTTCACACACACGCCCTGTGCTAAATTACTGGGCTACAGAGCCAAATGTCCTTTCATTTGTAAAAGTTTTTATGTCCTTATTGGTACTCCATCCAGGTTGTAGTCTCAACCTTGTATTGGGAAGTGAATTTGTTTCTAAAAACCGATGTATCCAAGCAAACCTGCTTTCATAAAATCTTTTTTCCCATTTCTAAGCCTCCTGCGTTCTCTTAATTGGCACAGACCTGATATTACACCTAAATTTAAATTTTCCCAAAGACATTAGCCAGATTTAATAGAAGGGAGGGCAGTGCAAATAAAATGTAAAATCTGCTGAACAAAAAGAAATGAATACCTGGCACAATAAATGAAAAGATGTGAAATGTTTATGAAATTATTTTAGTGTGATATTACATAGTTCAGTGTTTCTGGGATTAAGGAAAAGTTTTGCTCACTCCAGATCGCTTATAGCACTTGTAAAGTCCAGCATCTATCTTAATTCTGGAATCTAATCAATACAAAACACAAGGCCTGTTGTAAAATGCAGCTGTAATATTTTAGACTTAAAAATTGTTTTTAATCATCAATGTTAATTAATACTGTGACCTTTTAAAAGTTTTTTAAAGACCTTGAGCCGCACAAATCAAAATGTTTCTGAAACAGTGAAAACCACAATTTGCTTGTTCACACTGCAGTCCTGATGGCTTTTATTGGAATAGTATATGATTGATACTATTTTGGGCCTTATTATTCTGTGAACACAGGGCTTGTCGGGTTACATGAGATCTTCTCAAGCTGCACGTTTAATATATAATAACTAAACTAATCATTGACTGCAGTGAATTTAGGACTTCATAATCAGAGACTATTTCAGCAAATGTAATATATAGATTAATGAACAAAGTCTCACAATATAAGTCTGAGTGAAGACGTCTGCCCTTCTCTCAAGAGGCAATCAGTAAAATACAGGCAATGTTACTTTTGTTTGCCTCAGAAATGACAATTTATTGCTAGACAGGCAATTGTTGATGGAAGATTGGTTATAATGTTTGTAAAACATGCATGTTTACAAACATAAAAATATTTAAAAGTGCTCTCAGAGCCTCCAAATGTTTGGGTCAAACAACTGAATCATAATTCATCCTGTGAAGTAAGACAAGGTATTTAATATTATATTAATAAGTACAGATGAGCTCTAATTCCAGCATCCTTCTTCGAGTGATATAGAGCAAAGGGGGCAAATCTGTTCAATAGTATGACTATTTATGAACCAACAAACTTCACAAAGAAGCAGCACATCTATTTCAATCAGACATCATTTTAGTTTTAGTTGATAGATATGGCCTACAACTTGACCTACATACTGTAACTGAGCTATGTAAAACCACACTGAAAGACAAAAGTTCCTCTGATATCATTCATTCCTCTAAAAACCTAAAAACTCATTTTTAGTTAATAAGGTCTTAGGATTCTTTGTTTACATCTTTAGGGAATGAACTGAAAGAATCAGGCCTCAGTTGTTCAGATGAAGTTATTAATTTTCTGGGATCAAGGCTGCGCTGCTTTTAACGAGGAATTCTAATCTGAATGAATACAGAGTGATTTCTGACACTTAGAAAAAGTAAGTGGGGATGAGGCTGTAGCTGGCCTGTTTAGCCTAATTTCAGCACTTTGTCCAGGAATTTGTTTTCCTGTTTACAAAATCATGTAGAGTCAACTCCATTAAAGGAAAAAAAAAAGTGATGGCATGCTTTAGGAAGTAAAAGCGTGTTTGAGGAATCATAGCCCTGGAAATGAAGAAAACCTAAAAGTATTAATTTCGGGTTAAACAGACTTAAAACACCATGACTCCAGGACCCTGAACTACCAGGCAGGTGGTGGGAATCTGATGAATGTTCCACTGTGAGCCTGCTATAAAGCGCTCTTTATGAGTGTGGCCATACTGATCGCCTTCTAATCAGTGGTGTTGACAAAGAGATGATTGGAGAGGTCTGGACCAGATCTAAACCTTACATTTTAAGTGAAATTCCTTTTAGAGTGAGTATGAGAGATCATGTTGTGTTATCTAT